CAAAATCTGTGGCAAATGAGTATGGTTCGCAAACTCCAGAAAGGATTCCCGAAGTAAGGGACCTTCAACCTGGTTAAGCCCATCTTAGCCCCGGGTGAGCTCTCCATAAAATTGCAGGTGCTCAGCCGGGGATGAGGAATGACCCCTATAAACCCTCCTGGTGGTTTCCTGGCCCGATCCCTCGGGTCATTCTTCCCCTTCCCACTTTTCGCACCAGCAGTAAATGAATTGTGACCAAGGCTGCAGCCAAGACGCTTAAAATTGAAGGCTGCCGACTCGAAGTCCGACTGTCTCGCCTTGTGCTGCAACAGCTCCAGCGCGCGCTCGTCCTAGGCCAAGCACTTCGAGCTTCCGCGTTGTGTGCAAGTTGGAAGTCACCCTCTCATCAACATGGGTTGGTGCAAAAGCCTCCTTTGAAACACTACTTTCTGTCGGGCTAGTGGCCCTTGCACTTCTATGCTTGTTGGTGAGGATGGCCACTCAGGCCATGCTCAGCACCTATATTCCGCTACATTTCAAGCACATGTGCTAAGGTTTGTGGGAACCAAGTGCGCCCTTCCCTGAACAACTCGTGCTGGCATCTGTCAGCTGCCCATAGGCTCAGCCAAGGCGCAATCACCTCCGCCTTCTCCTCCTGCGAGAATATCCGGCCGGCAACAGGAGCCCAACTGGAGCCCCAGCACCCGCACTGTGCGCGTGTAAAGGAACCATTATGAGGTTGTTGCACGGAAACCGTAGGAACACCATCCATTCCGGGAGCGTTGAGGGATGCTCCTAATGGGAAGGGGGTCAGGACAGGAAAGCCGCCGGAAATAAATCAAAAACACAGTGGTCCTTTCAGCAGTTGGGCGACAACCCTCGTATGAGGTTGTAGGCCATGAGTGAGGAGGCCATTCTACAGTAGTTGAGCAAAGAATCTTTGGCACCGTGGGCTCTCAATAGAGTTCGCTTGTAGACGAGACAGGTAATGGAGAGAGGTCTTTTGTTGGGTTGCGGTCTGTCCCGCCCTTTCCATACATTACTTAGGCTCTGTGATATGTTCAGCCGAAGCTCCTCCCCAACCCCCCCCCCCCCCCCACGAGCCAAGTGCCGAAACGAACTTTTGGCGAAGGGGTTTCCTCTCATCGAGGGATCCCTTTCATTCCAAACACAGCTCTCTATTCTTTGCTGAGAAGTGATTCGCAACAGGAGACACCCCCATCCATGAACCATATAGGTTTTCCGCTTCATCCGGGGTGCCCATTATTGGCACCCCGGCTTCCATTTGCTTCAGCCGCCTGGAAATTTGAGCAAATATGTCCAGTAGTGATGGATTCCCTTTAAAACCAAAAAGGTTCTTCCTTTCTTTTGCTTCTATGTTTTCAACGTACTCCTTTCCTCAAATGCTCGGTTGCTTTCTGCTCTCCTGCTAAAAGTTTAACTTTTAGTGGTTTAAAGGACACCCCAGTAGTTGGCAAAAAGTTAAAGTCCTAACATCCAGGCAACATGCACCAAGGAATGGACGATCCGGGGGGATGCCCCGAAGAAGAAAAAGGCGATGCGCTTGCCGCGGCCGCCTGCAGTGCTTCCAGCCAGCTCTGCCGCAGGCCCAGGGAGGCCTGGGATAAGTCCACCACCTCCCGCGCCCCCAGGCAGCGCCTGCCATGGGAGCAACCGCCCGGACGGAAGCGTGTCCAAGGAAGCGCGAGAACACAAGGAACATCAAGATCTCCAAAAGGGGAGAATACCAGGGGAAATCGGAAATCAAGGCCTGCCAGAAGAGAATACTACCAGGAAAAAAAGAGGAATTTCAAGAAGGATCTGCAAACCATTGGAACCTTTTGGCAACACTGGAGGTCTGGGGTAATTAAGGATGCCAAAGACATCCTAAAGCTGGGCTGCAACAGGCAGATGTGCCCAGTTGACAAGTGACCAGAGCAGAAAAAGGTTGCCCTGTTTGGGCGCTGACCATCTTCTTGTAAGAATTCTCCAAGCAAAAGGTTCGTCATTAAACAACAGGGGGCTGTCAAAGATATGCCAAGCCATTCCCCCATCACATTGAATCTGATCTTGAAGCAAGGGAGTTGCCCTAGCTTGCTCATGCAATCACTTGTCCTCGATTGTGCAACGATCTTTGTTGTGCAAAAACACATCCAGGTTTTATGCAAAGGACCGGGCGAGCAGGTGCTTCTTGATGATTTGATGCAAATCCAAAGCGCAAACATTTCCCAGGGCTCGCTGAGTCTTGCAACCCGGAACCAAGATAAGCCCCACGCAAAGAATCTCTTCATCATGGGTGTTCTCGCTCGTTCAATCCTTCAGGCCTGCCAGTGATGCTGAAGGGTCCCTCCAGCAGCGACGATGCAAGCAGCTCGCCGTCCATGGCCGTCTTTGGGTCTTTGGCTTGAAAACGGGATGCTGTCCCGGCAAAGCAGGGGCGGTCATCTGGGTGCTAAATATGGGGTCTGGAAAAGGTAAATACACATCCTTTTGGGCTTACTGTTGAAACACTAACAGGCTTGTAGGTTGTTTAGCGCCTACTTACTCATCTGCCTCCCTGAAAGGATCTCACCGTTTCTTGCTTGAAAAACAACACGTCTGGGGCCTTCCTCTACGCAAGCAACTATCAGCAGAAGCTGGAACTACTGAACCTTCGTGTACCTTGGTTTGGCGAGCTCAGCATAATTGTTGCCCTTCAGATTCAGAACAATTCATCAGGTTTGCCCATGGAGAACTTTGCTTCACCGGCCTCAATGGAGGGGTAAAACCACTTGGTACATTGTGCGTCCAAGGTGAGCTCGCCATACAAAAGATGATGCTGACTGCCGCCAACTGATGGCCAAATGGCTCGGCTCAAGCCGTTTAAGCAAGCGGGGGGCTGCACAGCACTTGGGCTACTGGGTCCGAGCTCCCGCAACTGGCATTCTGCTCATGCAGCCAAGCCAAGCCAACGATTCTGGAAGCACACGGATTAGGTCTCAAGTTGTGCTTAAGCTAGGAAACTCTGCTTGCCGCTGGACAACTTCTGGCAAGCAATAGGCAACACAACATTGTACATCCCCTTGTGGCTCCTGCAACAATGAGTGCTTGGCCACTCAGCACAAGCCAGCCTGGTTGCAAATAAACACTTGCCGGCCATCTTCCATCAAATAAGCCACCGGTGCCCTTGCGAACACCCTTTACACCTCCCACAATATGTATTTATCTTGAGGCAAGCTGGACAAGCTCATGTCCGCATCTGAACCTGTTGCATTGCGTGGACACCTACCCAGCTGGCTTTTTCTCGGGCTTGTGACAAGATAGCAATACCCTGCTCGTTTGCTTCATCCATATCAGCTAGCCAGTTGGTCTCTTGCATGGATGTGGGTAACAACTGCACACCCTGCAATTCACCTCGCATTCAGTACTGGGTTTTTTATGGCTGAGTGTGGTGGGTTACCTTGCAAACCGCGCTGCGGTCTCTGGCATGCTCGGAACCACCCAGCTTGAGCATCCGGCGGCGTCCTCGTCCGCGCCTGGCATGTGTGAAGTGGTAAAGTGGAGTTGGACACCAAGCGGTTGGTTTCCTGCTGCATTCAATTTAAAACCCTCCCAAACAAGGAGAAGTTTGACTGCAAGGCAGATAGGGCAATCGGGCAGTACGGGCAGCCATGATGCGCTCAAACATGCTTTTGAACTCATGGCATTCCATTGACAAATTTGGCGTGCGGATCCTGCATTCGAAACTCGAATTTGCCCACTTGGCACGAGCAGTGCCTGAAGGGGCCGATAAAAATCACCATGCACTCACCACACCTCACTGTACCTCAGAAGTAGGCGCCATTGAAATGGTCAGCGGCTCCTTGCACGTGGTTGTCGTCACTTGGGAGACGGCGCTTTGTCGAAGTTTCCGGCGTCGGATTTTCTCGTCCAGGTTCTGCAAATAGCCGTGGCGCCAATCGCTCAAAGCCTGCCAAACGACCCGTGCGCATGTGCGTCATGCACGGACAAACGCACACAAAAATGCATGCCTCCGGGTTCAGGGGGGATGCAGAAGATCACTGAAGCAAGTTGCAAGTAGTTGAAGTTCAATCGTGAACTTAGTCAAAGTTTTCGTCCATGAGAAATGCGAATGCTTTGAATGATCAAACACGCCACAACCAAAGCAAGCAGTTGGGGAAACAAATGAGCGTGAGCTGAGAAAAAGCGGGGACAGTGGCAAATTCCTGCTATGGCTAGGTCATCCGCTTCTGACTTTCCCAGTCCTGCTTATGTTGACCTTCCACAAAATCAACCTTCAGACGAGGGGACAAAAAGTGAAGGCGTGCCTCTCAAATGGCCACAACCCCAATCCCAAGACTCAAGCCGGGGGGTGACTTGTTTTCAACTGGCTGTGGGTCAAACATTTGCCCTGTGGAAACATGGGCTAAAGCCTTCAGTCCATATCCTGAAGGTGAGTACCTAGAGTCTCCATGACCCTTAAAAAATGGGTCTGTGACCCCTTAGTTTTGGGTAATGACCCCATTTTTTAAGGGGTCATGGAGACTCCAGGTAGTTTTGACCCATTCCCCACTGAAATCCCACCAAATAATTGCTCCGTTTCGCAGAGCGAAACCACCCACGCCTGTGACTCCTCCTTCGCCAAGTCCTTCAACCGCTGCGTGGTCTGCTCCAAGGCGTCCTTCAGCTGGCCATGTTGCTTCTGGGCCTGCGGTAACAACGGCGTTTAAGCCATGCGACGGATAGTTAGGGGGGGAGGGGGGGGGGGGAGGGGGGGAGGGGGAGGGGGGGAGGGGGGGGGAGGGGGCGAGGGGGGGAGGGGGGGAGGGGGGGGTGAGGCCACTGAAAGCCTTGGAGAATGAGAAACGCCAGACTTTTGGAAGCATGACCGAAGATGACAGCGAACAAGAGGACACCATCGTTTACCTGAACACGCGACCTGTTGACGATTGGAGGGTAGAGCGTGCGCGGTTTGTTTCACAAACTTCTAGAATGAATTGGAGTTTGCAGCGCGTGGGGCTGTCAAAGTATCCCCTAATCAATCCAGGATCACTTTGACTGATGTTGGGGACTCAATGACATTCTCAAGAATAAAGGGGCTCGCGAATGTGTCCGCCTAAACATGTCCAAAATTTGCATTCCTCTGGGCAACTAAGGTTCCCTTTCCCTTTCCACCACCCAGAGTGGCCAACAACTAAGTGGCTTCCTTTGAGTCCACCCTTAAACCAACCCAACAAGGCTAACCTCGAAAAGATGACAAACCCCAGGTGTCCATGGGGGGTCAGTCTGTCGATCCGATTCACCGATAAAAACAAAAAGCCGTCGCCTGCATCCACTCCTCGTGGATGCGGTGCTTGGCATTCAGCAGCTGAGATGCCTCCGCCTCCGCCTTGTCCACCTCCTCAGCGGGAACCAAGTCCGGCGAACGGGGCCCACACGAAACCAAAGCAGCAGGTCCCAACGAGTGATTGTTGAAAACACACCTGGACATTAAAAGTTGAGATTGAACTGGGTGAAAGTGAATGGCATAATTCCCGACATAGGGGTCCCAGTTGTGCTGGAGAAAGGGAAGCATCAAAAGAAACTGGAGTTCCACAAATGGAATTCTCGGGGTCCCCCCCCATCCCCCCCTCCCCATCCCCCCCCCAATTCCATTTTGAGTGGGGCGGATGCTTTTCAGATGTTACGGGCCAAAAGCAATCCTGGCCTCCTCCGGCATTCCGGCCGAATAGAAACAAGTCTGTCTTTTCTATCCTCGACCTCCCCCCCTCAAAAAAAACAGCAACACACACACACATACACATATATATATATATATATGAAATATAGATATATATACACAGCCACACACGCAAGCACCCAAAGATCTGCGGCTTTTCGGTGTAAAAAGGGGATGACTTGGCCACTCGAGCGTCTGCCTTGACCCGCGCCAAATTTGCCAAGACCTCCTCCGTGGAGGCCCGCTGGCACTTGAGCACCTCCCTCGCCGCCGCGAGCTCTGGCTCCTACAACATGAAAACCGCCAACTTAGGGGGGAAGCCCTGATTTGTGGTTACTTGGGAGAATGACTACAGAACCAACCTGAGCCCAACAGAATATTCATCTAATCAAACACCTATGGCTTGGGATGCTTCCCCTCCCCAAACCAAGGACCCATGCTGGACCCGGATCAGAACCCAACACGACATCCAACTCGCAGTGAAGTTCGATAGGCTGCGAGCTGCGGGCGGACTGGGACCCGCCTGTTTCTCCAAGCCCCGCTGCAGCTCGATCTTCGACTCCTGCGCCGAATCCATGAGATCCAAGCCCAATGCAAGCTGCCAAGCTGATTTTGGGGAATCTGGCAAGAACACCCGTTGCAAGCGCAAATGGCATGAAGACGACTTTGTTCGGTACTGCTGGGGTTGTCTCACAAGGGGAACATGGTGACACTAGGATTTGCAATTTGAGGATTCGAGGATGAGTTCTGCAAGCTGCCAACGTAGTCTTGCAACATCTTGCAACAGAGTGCAACAAGCATCATGTCTCTCAAACGCTTTCAGCCAACTAGCCAAGTTCCACTCAATTGACCGTAGAAACCAGATGAACAAGGCAACCTTTTCAAGGTTGAACATATGTTTAGCAAGAAACCCGACACAATGAACAAGTGGGCCTAGCGACTTCCAGCAGTTTGCCCGAAGCTCCGCGCTTCTGCGGCCAACCTGCTTTCCCCTGGACGTCGGGGGCCTGGAGCTGTTTAGAAACGAGGCCAACTCTGGTGCCAACCGCTTTCCTGTCCTCCACTTTTGCGATCTGATGACGGCACGCGGCTTTCAACTCCATGCGCTTCTGCCGCTCAGCCGCTACCTCCCAGACTTCAAAGGGAAGGTGTATATCTGTAAATAATATGTATATGTATTTATGCCTACACCTGTATATATATATATATATATACATATGTGTAAAAGGACATCTGTATAGGCTATACAGATGTGTAGTTAGATACATATATATATACACATATATATATATATATGTACAGTACGGCTACTGAAGTCCCTAAGTGCGATATGGGCTGGCTCTGGGCTTTCCACAAAAAAGGCCTAAGGTCTCGGGCAGTCCTCTGACGCGCCCAGCTTGACAAATCACATCGGTGTTTCGGCTAGTCCAAATAGCTACCAGGTTCTTACGGAACTCCTGGTGGCTCCTTAGCACCCTCTTTGAAGGCAAATTCTGGCGCATTGACCCCATAGCTTTCGCATGTTTGGCTTCATCATCCCCAATTGCCGACAAACAAAGTTGCAAAAGGTGCATCGTAGAACCGGTGCGAAATTATAGCCGGGTGAAAGTAAAGGGCACAATTATCTTTCTGTGAGCAAGAGGGATGATGGAACCAGAATGCTAAAATTGCGAGCTACTTCGCCCAGCAGTATCTGGGGCAGCCGGTGCTTGAACTACCAGGAGCCTCAAAAACCGATGAAAATGTCATACCTACAAAAAACACGATGTTTTTTGGGAAAACACGATGTTTTCGGGAAACACCGCATTTTCGATTTCAAGCAGTTTCCCATACATTCCTTCAACTCGTCATCCGTTCTCAAAAGATCTCAAAAGCATCATCTCAACCTCAGAATCTCCCATCGCCCTCCCCTTTTGCACTCGCAACGAAATCAGCTTCGCATTCGCCACTCGTCTTTCGCAACTCCAACCTGAAAGAAGGAGGCCGGGGACCCAAATAGTCAAAAGTACCACGGTTTTATGACACTTGTCAAGCAGCAGTGCCATGATGAGGGCGTGCTGGCTTCGAACAGCGCGCAAGCTCAAGCAAAGACCGTGCTTTTGCTCACGACTTCGTTGTTTTCCAGCAACATTCTCGAATTAGCGCATTCGTGGTTGAACCCGAAAAACCCATAGAATTTCCACGCTTTGCCACGCTTTACTACGGGTTCTCCACGGTTTAGCTACGGGTTAGAAAACACGATGTTTTCCAAAAACACGATGTTTTCGGTTGGGGCTGCGGGCTTTCTACGGGTTTCTACGGGTTTTCTATGGGTTTCTACGGGTTTTCTGCGGGTTTTCTGCGGTTAGCCGCCAGGATCCCGCCCCATTTGCTAAAAAAAACTCAAAATTGATAAAAACAATCTCAAAAGTGTCACCTGGTCTTGTTTTGCACCAAAAGGAGCTTTCGGATTCCAGCACCCCCTTCAAACTGGTTCGGTATGACCTGGCGCCAGTCTTCAGGTGCCTGTTGCTGTGAAAGGTACTTCAAGACTGAAGCCAGCTGCACACCCTGGCTGTCAGGCTCATCAATGTGGTCCTTAGAATTTGAAGCATACTCAGTATAGAGCGTTGCCCTCAGTTGAAATCTTAATGGGTGATGTCTGTGTGAATCCACTCCCGACCCTTGCCTTTGACCCTTTGCTCCAAATGAGTGTTTGGCCTCAGAAGCCCATTTTTAAGGGGTTTTATCAAAAACACGATGTTTTTCCTGAAAACACGATGTTTTCAGAAAATCGAGAAAAACACGATGTTTTAGTCAGGGTACGACATTTTTACAGGTTCTTGAAGCCCTAGGTATGTAAGAAGTCCCAAGTCACAATTGATTGGGAACGAGGGATTCTATGCGACCATACATGGGCTCTATCAGATTTCCTTTCAGATGCTACATGCATGATTGTCCTTTTTGCCCTACGAGGGATTCTATGCGACCATACATGGGCTCTATCAGATTTCCTTTCAGATGCTACATGCATGATTGTCCTTTTTGCCCTTTTGCGATCTGAACCCGTTTATCATCGACCCCTTAAACGGGTTGTCGGACCAGGGCAGCCGGTGCATGACCAAACACTGGTACCAAATAGGGATTCTGGCATTTAAACAAAACATGCCTATGCCCTCTGAATTTCCCTTTGGTTATCATGAGTATCCAAAAACTTCCTGTGGATGGGCGAAATCCTGCACCACATCCTGGTTTCTGTTGATTCCTCTGTAAATACCAACAAACAATGGTTTCAACCATGGTTGCCTAGGTGGTGCGATTTCTGGATGTCGCAACCACCAGTGGCGCCCAAACCCCCGCCTGCTGCGCCAAGGTCTCGTGCTCGCTGTGCAGGGCGGCACTCGCATCGTCGAGGCGCTGGTGGGCCAGAAGGAGGTCCGCGTCCTGTCAGATTCGTGGAGGGGTTGTGTTGGAAAGCAACTTAAAACTGGGCTGCCCTCAGATCCCACGCAAAAAGTTTGACTTGTAGTGGGTTAAATGGAAACTACCACTAAACACTAAAAGGCTAAAAAGCTAAGGAACCGGATGGCTGGGAGCCACCAAGGAAAGCAAGGGTGTTTTTCTCTATTCCTCCATTTTATGGTCTATTTCTGTTACGGATTTCAGAGATGCGATTTCCGCCGTGACGAGGTTTGGACGCTTAAGACTCCTCCCAATTGCTTTCGAGAAAATATGTCCAGTAGTGATAGTGATAGATTCCCTTCACGGGAAAATAAAGCATGTAGTCTCAAGCAAATGGGGGTATTTGATCATTACAAAAAACAAACTATCACCGCAAAAGGTTCTCTTGGTGTGTGTCGAAATAAGGGTACCCCGGCAAATGGTGATGTGTCCTTTGGTTTCCCTTTAAGATCCACCCCACAATGAGTTCACAGAAACACAAACACGAAGGGCTTCCATGATTGAAACGAACAGGCAAGGTTAACAACTCCTTATGGGGAGACTCATCAACTCCGTAGGGACTGATCAAATGCAGTGTGACGTCCAGCCCGCTTTGAAGGAACGGCTTGAGGAGCCGATGATGGTGGTCTCTTAGTCCATGGCAACCGTCTTTGGCCAATAGGTTCACACTTGGATCTACAGCTCAATCAGGCCGTAACTAAGTGAAAAACATCCACGGCCGACCCTCTGCCAGTGCCAATCTTCGGGGGCTTCCCTCGTACGCCCGGGCCACTGCTATTGCCGGCCTCCTCGTCCAGACGATGCATGGCTTCAGTGGATTGCTGCGCTTCAAGCTGGGCCTGGCTGAGCTGTCCTGCACTTCGCTTCTGCGGAAAAGGCAATCAGTATACCCGTCCCTTTTGGGTTTCCTTCTGGGTAAACTTTAAGAATCATAGGCTATGTAGCACCCAGTCTTCTAGGAAGCCAGTTGCAGGAGATGTTGTGGGAAGTCGCTTTTCTTGTAGAGCTTCCTGTGGCTAGTTTGCATGGTGCCTGTGCCACGTACCCCCACCAAGGCAAATTACGCTCCCAGCAACAAACATGGAAGTACACATCCTCCCTTTCCAAAAGGACAGTATATAGTCTCGAAGGGGCATGCGCACTTGCGCACTAGTTGCATGTATTGCTGCAACCTGCTTACAGCATTGGTTCAAAATCCGAGTACCCCTCCAAGTACGACTGTTCCACCACATCCGCCTAAACGAGCTTCTCAGTTGGTAGAGAAAATAGAAGGGAGCCATTTGGGTTTGACAATTGAGTGTTTTTTTTGCGGTCAACCTTTTGAGATGACTAAAAAACCACCCAAATGTCCGAAACCAAAATATTTCGAGTCGGCTTTCGGCAAGTGAGAAACCGGGTATAGAATTCAGGCGTCCCTTCCGCTCCTTGTAGCTTCTGCCACGTGCGGTGGAGGCCTTGCAGATCCTTCTCCAGCTGCCGGTTGCTGGCCAAAACCTCTGACAGCTCCTGGAAACGGGGAACGAGTGACAGGGTGGAACAAGCAAGCCCTTTGTTTACGCAAAAGACGAGGCTTTTTCTGGGGAGTCGGTCGGGGAGTTGGGTACATGGGCCAAAACAAATAAGGTTGGGATCCACTGAACAGCTGGGTTTAAAAAGGAAACAAGATAGCTCCAAAGACCTGATGAAAGTGGATGCAAAGGGAGCTCCAACAGTTAATAATTCAGATGCAAAAGGCGCACCATGGGCTTCCAAGGAAAAGCCATGGTTTCCAAACCGAGATTTACCCATGCTGGACTCCAAGCAGCTCCGGGGCAAGAGCAGGGTTTCATTTCTACACTTGTTGGGAACCCCAAGTGACGAAACGCTTCTAGGTGTCTGCCTGCAAAATCGATGGGATCCACTCGAGCATAACCAGAACCCATCTATGCCAAACAATGAAACTTAGCCTATGACCACCGAGCCTGATCTCTTTTCCTCAGGGCAACAAAGAAGAATGCTTCTATATGTGTTGAACCTAACCGGTGCGCCTGCAATTCCAAATTCAGGTTTAGTGGCAACTATTGAGGATGTCACAAACAGATATGACTTGATGCCTATACATGAAACGTCTCCCTAAAAATAATCCCTTATGGTCTCTGGTCTCGTTTAGGTAAACGGGCTCATTCCCAAAAAGAGATAGAAATTCAACAAACAGTGAGAACTATGTCAAACCACCACTAATTGTTGAATGAGACAAGGCATTTCCCAAATTCCCACCTGGGTGTTGATCAAAAGGTCCTTTCCCTGGGATGACCTTTGGTTGGGAAACCACACACAAGATTCGATATTTCCACCACCACGGGAACAGTCACCCATGGTCATTTAGCGGCCCATGCTCACTTCCTTGAGCGGACTGGCGAAAAAAAGATCTGCCCTTTTCATTTACCACCAAAATGGTCCACAACCACAAAAGTTTAACGTTCATGAAGTCAACCCCCCAAAGCACCGCCGTTCTCCGCTTCCCTTTACGCGCGCGCCGGTCGCGCCTGGCTGGTCGCCTCCAGCTCCCGCTCCGCCACGCGCCGCGCCCGCTGCGCCGGCGGGAACCGCGCCGCCGCGGCTTGGCGCTGCAGCAGCAGCTGGGCGCAGCGGCGCTGCAGCGCCGCCAGCCTCGGCGACGGGGATCCCGGGCCTTGCTGGCCACTAATCGATCAGCTTCCCTTGGTTTTGGGTGGTTTGGAGCCGAATCGGTGATTTAGTGGTTTAGTGGTGCAGGGCTTTCCCACTAAGGGCTTTCCCATCTAGCCTCTACAAATCAAGGGCTTCCCTCCTTGGCGTTTCCCTTTTATCACCCCTTTGCACCTATGGCCATGGGATCTCACAATTCCGAGGGGGGACTCAACACTCAAACTGGAAAATGAAAATGTGGATCGCCGCCATTCTACTACTACCCCGTTTGCCTGGCCTGCGGTACAAACAACCGAACGTGGAACTCGAAATGAAACTCCAGATTCAAGCAAAGGTTTGCCGTTTCTGTGCCTGCCAGCCTTGGGCATACTTTGCAATGGTTTCGATCCCCTTGGTAACCCTTCATTTCCACAAGCACATGGCAACCTAACATGTCGCCAACACCCACCTACTATTTGCTAAAATGGTGCGCTTGATTCCGGTGTCTGGTCCATATCTGGCGAACCTTATGAACAACACCACCCCGACTATGACCACGTCCTGCCGTGCTTTTTTTTTGGTTCAAATGGTTTTCGCCGCGCCTGTCGGGGTCCAGCTGATGGAAGAGGCTAGCCGTGGCATGCTCCAAGTCCCGACACTCCGCAGTGGCATCTGCCAAGCTCCGCGGCTGACGCTCGCAGTCGCAGTCGCAGCTTGTGCAACTCATGGCTGGCGATCTGTCGGGTGAAACTGCCTCAAACTGCCCCCTACTCACCTTGCTTCCGATCGAGTGGATTGGCCAGCAAAAAGTATGAACGGTTTCTTAGTCCAAGCCCAAAAAGTGTCAAGTCCATGAACTAAGGGAAGGAGCCTAAATCAACCCAATCTCACTTCTGGCGACCTTAGTTTGGGCGACTCTTGGCCAGGCTCAGGCCCCCTGCATGAAAGGTCGCAAAGGTTGGTTAAGTGTGGCAATACTGGTTTGTGCTGCCTAGACTAATTACATAGGTACGAGTTTAAAGCAAGGACCCTTGCGCTTATCATTTGCATGGTGGATGTTCGCCCACCAACCATGTGCTGGGGTAGTTCCCATTAAAAAAAAAAAAACAACCGCAGAGGAGGTCCAGGCTGGCTGTTCCAAGCGGAGCTTGAGCCTTCTGTAGAGTCAACCTCCCTACAAGGTTTCTGGTTGTCTTTTCTCCCTCTCTCTCTCCGGCATCCTCGAAGAGGCGGCCCGTTGTGGGGCTTGAAGGTAAAACTGACGTCTGAAACCACTTATTCTGTAGTTTCCCTATTGGGAGACACACCCTGGACGGAACTCCCTTTCAACTTGGCCAAAAAGGTGATGTCCAAAATATCGGCAGCGAAGAACCGGCAAGTGGATTGCGGATTTCGGTCCCAAAAGCCGTATTCTGCCTACTTCGAAACAAAGGCTTGCGGCTTATGACTGGCTTCACTTCAACTCACCAACTAGGTCCTCCAGTGGAGAGGTTAGAATAAGGGTACCCTTTTTTTCTGTAGTCTATTTTAGTAGGGGGAACCCTCCCAAAACAAAGGTAAAAGGCACTACTGGGGGACCTGGCCAAAAAACGCATCTCAGAACGTAAGGAATTTGCCTTTTTGTGGTCCGCCAGCCTGGGCTCACGGGCGACTCCTCCTCCAAGGGGATGAAGACTTCCTGGAGCAAACCGCTTGCGCGATTCTCTTGGGTGCTCCGAGGTAGGCAGATCGCAGCTAGCAGATTGCGCGGGTTCTAGTCGTGCGAAATTTGTCAATAAGGTCAGGGGTGACTTGTTGCTTTTGTTCTACCCACGTCAGCTGAGTAGGTCATTTCACCAACGAGATGCTCTGTAATACCAACTAAGCAGGTACAACCATGTTTCTCACCTGCTCTTCTGACGTGGATGTCCAACCCCAGCCTAGGCACCCCCTTTATCGAGAGATGTTAAAGTCCTGCAGATGGGTAAAGGGTCTCGAAACATTGAAACATGATCCAACATAACCCATCCCCTTTTGGCTTCCCGTTGGGAAAGATAAGAATTGTTGGCTTATTTAGCCAGGCATGCTGTCGACATGTCCTCGCCCTGCGGGTCCGCTGGATCCTGACGAGGCGTGCAGCTTGGGTGCTGAACAGCGGGGTTGGAAAAACTGCAAAAGTGCCCTTCCCTAGGGTTCATTTGGCACCCAGCTAAGCACGAAGTGTATGGATCAAACAAGGGTAATGACGGGTAGGTTCCCTAATTTCTGACTCCGTGAGTGGATAGGTCTCAAACTTGCTATTGGCTATACATATATATATATATATATATATACTTAAGGCTTGAAGTCCACAAACTCGGGAAGTCGGCAACACTAGCAACAGGGAAGGCTTCTCGAAACAAGAACCCTTTTGGGTCAGGAACACGGAAGCGAGAGACGCGCTTGCGAGCTTTGAGAGCTTGCTGCAAGGGTTCTTACAAGACGACCAGCCGCACGCCAAACTTCACACGTGGCTTCGGGGTCGCCTGATCCATTTCAACAGGGGCCTCGCTGCCCTCCCCAAGCAAGTACCCTCCCCAAGCAAGTAGGAATTCAGGTCGGCACAGGATGGCACAACGGACACTTCCTCCAACCGCAATGGTCACAGAATCTCACACTCAACATTCCCTGACAAATGCCCGAATCCCAACACATCACGATATATATATATATATATATGTATTGCAAGTAAACCACATTCCGTTGCAAAATTCGCCCGGTTGCCCAGGACCCATGACTTGTGAAATTTGGCTGCGACCAGGCTCAAGGTCACCCATGAATGGCAGACTGGAGAGGGGTGTGTTGCAGCAACGTGTTTGACAGGTGAGTGCCTCTAAATAACGTGAACAAATTTCCTTGGTGCACCTTTCTTATCTTGGCCAGGCTTCGACCCCCAGCAAAATGAAGGAAGCCCAACAGGGCAAGGGTAAAAGGGCGCTTTGTGGGTAGGGAAATCTGGCAGCGTAACTACCTGCACTAACCACTAAGTGTACCATGAGACTAGTACACCTGAAATAAGGGCTTTCAAAGCAAAGGATCTTGACCATGGTCAGCTCGTGGTACGCCCAGGTGAGCTCGCCATAACTACGCAAATGAGTGGTTTACCTCAAAGCGTGTCCCCCAAAGTTTGCCCTCGCCTCAGCCTCAGCGTTGGGGCTGGCCTCAGCCTGTCGCAGTGGGGCAGGGGTGCCTTTTGACCTGTTTCGGAAAACAAAGGAACCACGGAAAAGGGCTTCTACCCTTGCTACTGGTTGGTCTCTATACTTTTCCAAGCCGTGGCAACCGCTGCCCCGACTCAAAAATGATAAGGCTTAAGCAAGAAAAAAAGACAAGTCTGACAAATGCAACTGAGAAACAATGCAACTGGCTGGCCTTTTCAACCCAAACATGACGGCTGTCACCCGCCTCTGCCGGCACATCCTCCTGATGCAGCGAGGCAAGAAAGCCAAGGCAAGGATATAGACCTTAGGTGACTGCCTGTCCTTTTGCTGAAATGACCAGTGCCAACACAACTTGAACTTTGCCAAGTTGGCATCGTTGTGCTGGATCACACTGAAACATCAAAATGCCCACCACGACTGGCTGCTCCGACAAGTACCTGCTTCCGCTTGCTTAAGATTTCACGCAACATGAATTGCAACCTGTCATCAAGAGCAATCCTGCAACGAGGAATCCTTAAAACTGACCTTGAGCAAATGGGACAACTAAGGTCACCAACGGCGAGGTTCAAGTATATAGATTTCCGATGCCAATGGTGTCTGAATGTCCCCAAAGCCTCTCATCCGCTTAGCATCAAGCATCATCAAGTGAGCAAGCATCATCTATGGTGAGCTGGTTGAACCCTCGTGCAGTCAGCTTGTGCGTTCCGAACATGCTTTGGACCGCCTACTGCCCGGCGAGGCGCTCAATCCACTCAGCGTTGTCATCTGTTCTTTTAAGTGGGACATGATGGCAAGGCTCGACTTTAGTATAACCATGGTGCTTTGATTTCCCGCCACCAGCAAGTCACCGGTCAAGCGTGAACTGTATCCTACCTCCACCCCAGCCTCATAGCCAGGGTCATGCAAAGTAGCCTAAACACCCGAGCAGTTTCAAAAAGCAATACTACATGTCCTGGACACGTGCCGAAGCACATGTATATATATATATATGCATATGCACCACGAAATGAATACACTTTAGACACATGTGCATATATCACATTCCCTATAACCTGCAGTCACCAACAATATGTAAGTAGTAGATAAGACACGCCCAGAAGCCACCCGCCTCTGGCGCCTCCGCCTCCGCCTCCGCCTCCGCAACGTCCAGCGTCTCGCCCTCCGCCGCGGGGTCGGCGTCTGCGGGCTCCGCCTCCGCAGCATCCGCGGCATCCGCGGCATCCGCGGGGTCCGCCGGGTCCGCGGGGTCCGCGGCCTGGGCCAAGGAGCCCAGAGGGCGGCGCCATGGGCTGTCCGTTTTCAGATCTCCGGTGCTACACGTTGACTTTTGGGCGAAATGGACAAACACTAAAGCAACTAAAAACCCTAGGAGATGGCTGGGAACCACCAAGGGAGAGGGAAACTTGTGTCCCATGCTTGTTTCGATAGCTGTCAGAAGGAGAAAAAACACGAGTCCAAACTCACTGGGCGACTGCGCCTCTGCGTTCGCCTCCGGCTCGCCCTCTGCGGGCTCGCCCGGCTCGGCTTCAGCCGTCTCCTCGCCTCAAAGCTTCGCCGGTGTGGCCTTCTACCCGGGGCTTACATGAGCTTTCAAGCCCCTTGTTGGGGTTTTAAAGGCTGTTTTTCGAGGAAAGGACACTTGTTTTGCACTTCGGGGGGTGGGGGGGGCGAGTGGTTTGGGGAGGCTCTTGGACAGCAACCTCTGTTGTCACTAACTGGGGGGGTGGTTTCCTCATGACCGTGGTCGTGACACACTTCAGTGGCCTGAACACCCAAGCCAAAACGAAACAGGACCCCAGCCCGTTTGTGGCATCCAAAAAAAAACAAACACCCCCGTTTAAAACATGGCCAAGTGGCACGAGGTTCACAGGAGCGAGGGGTCCGATTCTTGAGGTAGTTCCCTCTTCCCCAAACCAAGGGCCCTCACAATATCCCCTTTAAACACACGGAAGCTGACCTGTGAGCCCCAAATGCTCACATGCAGTGCATCCCCACCTCGAACTGGAAATGCTGAAAATCATGAGCCCCCTCGCCGTCGCATAGATTATGTAGCATGGCCAACGGAAGCATGAACGGCACCCCCTTAATGCATGTAAACTCGCCTCTCTATGCATTCATTAGTTGTTGAAACACGGAATCCGAAACTCACCCATTTGTAGAGTTGTGCTTTTGGAAAAGCCAGGTTTGGGCTGGATAAGACAGTACCCGCCAAATTCACCATAGACTGCTGAAAGGATCGACCGAACCAATGTGGAAGTTTCTCAACAAGGCGGACCCCGTACCCATTGATTGTTGGAAACCGCAAGAAAACTAAACATTTTAGGGGACCCCTATTTTGAGAAGCACCCAGGTGGGTATGTTATAAGCCTAGTTCTTAGCTGGTAGCTGGTCGCTCACTGCTTGCCTGTGTTCCCACTTTTGCCGAGCAATATGTGGCTGAGGTACCCAAAATGATACTCAGGTAAAAGGAAACATGGGCGAAAATCTGTGGTCTGGTGACCAACTTTGACCCGCACGCATGTGAAAACGGTCGCTTTCGAGCCTGGTGGGCCTTCGCCAGGACCTGCTGGAAGACTGTGAGCAAATGCTGCAAATGGAGGTGTCCTTTTTTTGGGGACCCTCCAAAATGGTGGTTTTCCTTTTGGCTTCCCTTGAAAACCACTCCAAAAAAGGCTACCCTAAAAAAGGACAGACCCATATTAAGCTAGCATACTGTAATGTAAAGCGAGGTCCTCTCAATGTAAACTGCTGCTGCAGGGCTCAAACGCAGTGCAAAACCATTGTGAACATGCTTTGTTTGTCAGCGCTAGCTGACCTCGCAGCGTAACATAGTTTTGGAGTCCGCAGGAGACCCCACCGGACCAACCCCAGTTGCCCCAGCCCCACCAAAGGGGGACCCCTGAGTAGCATGGCGCTCCGGAGTAATCCGAGCTACTCGATGGCTATGATTCTAGCTAACCCGAGCAGCCCCAGTTATAACCATGGTTGCGACGATGCTTACTAGGTTGGTTGAAGATCCAAGTTTGAAAGTCAAGGAATCTAGCCATGCCCTGAGCATGCTGTTCAGGGATCCTTCTCATTAGAACATCAATCCAAATCATCCAAACCCATGCAACATGTGCACATTCTGAACAGAAAGATCTGTGAAGCGTTTGGGGCAACAACCCGTACAAGGATGGTCACGTAAACCACGGTCAACATATGGCGATACTCCTAACTACTAATGGCTACGGACACATTCGCGAGCCCCTATATTCTTGAGAATGTCATTGAGTCCCCAACATCAGTCAGTGTGATCCTGGATTGATTAGGGGATACTTTGACAGCCCCGCGCGTTGCAAACTCCAAATCATTCTAGAAGTTTGTGAAACAAACCGCGCACACTCTCCCCTCCAATCGTCAAGAGGTCGCGTGTTCAGGTAAACGATGGGACACTAAGATTGAAACATCCCGAAACAGCCCCAGAAAAAAAGGGAGAAAAACAAAAAACGGAACAAACAGGACTGTGATCACAATGTCAGCATTTAGGTAATGTATACTCCTTGTCTAACTTGGGGATAAGGGCTTGGGGTGTGTGGTGTCTGATAATAAACAACTTTGGATGAGTTCCAACGAACAATGACTGACTAGAATTGCCCTAAAGATCAACTGGCCTCACTCTTTTACCATTGTGAAAGTCACCCACCAAGTGGTAGGTTAAAGGGAAACAACCCCCAACCTCCGGCTTTGATAACCCCTGGAAACAAACAAAATAATGACCCCAAATCAAACCCTGGCAGCACCTCGCCTTCACCTTCCGCCGCCTCTGCTTCGCCACTATCTACAGGCTCCTCTGCTTGCGCCTGAGGCTGTTCCATGTCGCATGTCGTGATGCAGCCCAACGTGAAACTACCCTCGTTCCAACAAACATGGGGACTGGTACCATCATGGTCTTCGAAAGACCCTCCATGATGGCTTGAAGAAGGACAATGGGGTTTGCCCTTTGAGAGTTGGCCCTTCCTTTGAATACGACGCTACTGAGGTACTTGGAGGAACCAGGGAAAGGGGCGTTGAGTGGGATTGGAGGAGCGAGGTTTAGTGCAACTTTCATTATTTTGGGGGTGTTGCTTGGATCCCATGACTTGTATTGATTGTTCGTTTGTGTTTTTATTGATTTTATGTTCTTTTGTTTTGGGAGGGGGGACGGGTCCATGCTGATGTGTTGGACGGTTCAGCGAATCGCGAGAACGTGCCTCTGGCACGTCTTCGGCGTCAGGGGCCTCAATTGGTTGAAGCCGGTCGTTGTGTTTCTGACCAAAAGGTTTTGTCTCTAGGAAAATCCGGCTTTTGTTTGGTCGTCCTTTAAGACAACCCGTACGGGTAGCCCTCAAATAGCCATACTTGTGCCTCGCTGGCACAAAGAAGCTGGCAATCCTTTTGTTTCTTGTTTGTGGCTGGCTGTAACGCGGTAACAGGCCTCTTGCATCTGGGGCCAATCGGTTGTTGGTGACCTCCGGTCTCACCCTTCTTATTGAGTGTTGAAGGGGTGCGTGGCGCGATCATTCGCGACTCGAGGTGCATCTGCTTGATCTACTTTTCAGACCAAGCACTTTTGTACAAGCAGCCAGCCAGTAGCCAGTAATCATGACAATTGATTTGGAAAGATCCCTGAACACAGATTTCTCTGAGTGGGAAACCCGCCAGGTGACTAACCTTCAAAACTTCAAATACCGGCCTCCATGCAGCTGGGCCCCAATAGATCCTTGCTTGGTTGGCAGATTTCACTACTTCTCACCTCCTGCGACCATTGTTGACCCAATTCATCAACCCCAGTTTATCACTGATTAGGGGTGTCCCTGGTTTTACTGGACACCCCCATATTGATAAACAGGGATAATCGGGGTCAACATTAGGCAGAAAAAGGGGCACCTGCTGTTTCAATGTTGGTTCTAATCTCCTTACGCACCGCTGGAGGTTTGAGCTACTCATGGCTACTGGAGACTTCGGCCAGAGCCAGGACAAGCAATGCAACCCACTGTGCTCCAGGCCGCATCGACCGGCGCTTCCTCTTCTGCCATTGGCCTCGCGTTAGGTGAGGTTGTCTCTGTGCAGCCAGTAGTGAATCCGGACAATTAGTATGCAACGCTGCCAAAACTCGCTTGTTCAAACCACTGTCCTTTGACATATCCTCCTCCCAGTGTTGTGTGAAACCGGTGTCCCACTACAACAAGTTTTGGTGATACCAAGGGAAGCATTTTTCTCAGCCAAGATGGGCTTAAGGGCTGAGGGCTGATATTCAACAACCCAGGCTAGGTGTCCACCCCAGACAAAATATCATTCACCATGGTGAGCCAGTCTTCCGGGTAGGATTGCCATACAATAAGAGATACTCACACACCAAAAAAAGAACCCGTATGAAAGGATTGTAAGGGCGCCAGCCCTTTTGTGATATTGCCGTAATTTGCCGTAATTTGCCCAAATGATTGCATGCCCTGCTTCCTGGTTCCGCTTAAGTTATATTTCCATACAACCAATAGTCACAACCTACATACTGCTCCACTTGCACGGTTCTCAGAAACAAACAAAAGATATAAACCACCTCATGCCAACTGGCAAAGCAAATTCAGCACCCAGCAAAGAACTGATGAGGGAAGGTTGAAGATGGGAACATGTCCAAACCAGTAAAGATTCGTTGACTGGCACCATCCCCAACAGCGTCCTATCCCTTTCGTGATGTGTTAGGAATGCTTACCTATCACTGTCGCCAAACAAAACGTGGCATTCCCACGTCGGAGAGGAACAACTAAGCAGTTAGTGCGCTGCAAGCACGCCATCAAAAGCACAAGGCACCACAGGGTGTTTGCCCTTCTGACCGCCTGTGTTGCGTGGCCCGTCAGCCACTCTGAGCCAAGAAAAAAAGCCGCGGCCGAGCGGAACAGTGAACCAATCCACAGAACACACATCTGTCTATGTGTATACGTACACACACATATAGTTCTACATATATATAAATATATGTATATGCACACATATGCATGGTGTGCAACGTGTGGCAAAATACATGTATGAATATATATCTATACGATAAAGCTATATTTGATGGACGCAAACGAGAATTCTTCGAGTTCGCCAGGTCACGAGTTCTGCCGAGTATTCGCGGAAAGCTCGTTGATTTTTCTTGCGTGGTTGAGCCTGGCAAATTGATAGTGAAGTTTCTCCCAACAATGTAGAATCCCCGATTCCCTCAGATGATGGATCGAGCCCCCCCAATCGAAATCTCTGAAAGGCACGTTCTGATGGGTTCCATTCCACGGCAACGTGGGACGTCACAAGTACTGCCTCTGTCTGTCCCTGGCACAAACCCGATCACGGCTGATCCAGAGACCCAGCATCTGTTTGTTTCCACGCAGGACTCGTTCGACCCTAGGCACGCGACGGTTTTGATTGACGACAGCTGCGTTGCTGACTGTCACTGTTGAAAAGTTGAAAATGCGCATGAATTACCGTGCCAATCGAAACCGTCCACTCGGGGCATCTTCGCTTAAAGCTGGCATTATTGCACCGTAATTACGTGCAGAAGCATCAAAGCAAAAGCATGACACTCCAGAGATTTGCTCATGGGTTTCTGCCGGAAAGCAGGCTGGGTGTTGGGTAGGGGTCTCAAACAAAAAACTGGTGCTGCGCAGCTCTCTATCCACGCGGCTGGACACCGTGTGGTCTTCTCGGAAGGCTAGTTCTGCCTTCACTGCCAGGTGAGACTTTGGGATTTCAGCAAAGATTCGTCCACACAAAACATCACTTATTCCAACAAACTCGGGTCTGCATGGCAAGCCAAACATAGAGGTTGGTATTCCAAAGCGGTGCCCAAATGAAATATGACCTGACTGGGACCCTTGAGATTTGGTGCTTTGAACCACCGTCGCTGTGGTTCCATTTGCAGGGGTCGGTATACTTCCCAACAAAACACTGCATCCGGACATGGGGAATTCTGTTTGCGCAATGGTTCTCCAATGGCGGATTTGCCAAGGGAAGTATAAGGACCCCTGTTTAACATTTGCCACTTGCAGTCCTGTTCAGGAACTGCTTGGCTCAAGCGACGCCCCTGACTCGCTCTCCGACTTTCGCGTTGCTCGCGCCTGCAATTTCAGCAGGCGCAAAGGCGATGACGTCACCCGGACCTACGGCAGATGTACCGCTTCATGAAGCTGAGTGCAAGGAACGCAATGGCACCTGAACGTTGGGGTACTCTACTATTACTTTTCCCACACGGGTCCGCAGTATCGATTCAGCCGGTTGCGTGATGAAGGTCACCCCCTGTGGCCATGGCTCTCGAGTCTGGCCTGTCGCTACATGACGTCTGGAAGCTAAGCATTGTGCTCAATCCAGGTCCAGAACTGTGCAGGGCACCGCCTGCAAAGCGGGCATTCATTTGGAGCTCTCTTGCCCGGCAGATCAAGGCAACCCCCCCTCTAAAGCCAATCTGCCTAACTCCTGGTAGCTCCGAAAGGCTCCCTCTTTGAAGGCAAAATTGGATACCCCAAGCTCCTTCGCTCCCTTCCAACCACCAGCTAGCTACTAAACCAGCAAGCACGGATATGTTTGCCACATCGGCCAACAAACTTCTTGGGCACTTCCAAAAAACAAACACTCAACCCGTTGATGGACCACGCGTTGCTGTGACTCGCCCCGGCGACAGTCAGTTTCACTCACGTGCTGGGTTGACTGGAGGGGACAAAAGTGTTGAACCGCTTAGGCATGTACTAAAATGAAAACCAACTCAATCGGTAAGTTTACCAACTAAACAGAAAAACATCTTGTTGCATTCACCAACGGCAGCACTTCACATGCGCTCCAGTAGCAGTGAAGGCATGCTGGTGGAGTGCCAAGCCGGCCGTCCCCTCCTTTCCTCCTTGGCCTGCCTAAGTGGAACTGAGGGTGCCGGGGAAGGCGGGGAGCTTGGCATTCGACATCATGAATGACATGTAAGCCTTGCAGATTACTGGGGGGTTGTGATACCCCCACAAGAGAGAGGGATTTGCCTGGAACATGGGACATCCCCCGATTGATTGCTTAATCCCGGGTTTCCATTCGTAGATGCAGGCAGGTCACGTGCAAGACTGGAAGAACTGCTGGGGATTCTGTCGGCTGACCTTGGCAATGCAAACGTGCAGCAGCCACTCGCATGTGTGGCTTGGATGTCATCACCCTCCGTCCCAATCATCCAGTCTTCCCAACGAAAGGAAAGTTCTGGAACTACTCAACTACTCCCCTGCAAATTAGAATGGACCAAAGGCGTATTAGTTAGAGAAACCTCCTTTGGCGTGGCCCTCTTATGCCCTTTGTGGGCTTCAACAGGTGGAATCCTTGGGCTCCCCGAAACCTATTCTCCGAAAGTCACCGCCGTTTTTCAGGTCTATCAGCCCCCGGCCCCGGCGGGAGCGGCGGCCACGAACGTGCGCCTGGCTGCCCCGCGAGAAACGAATGGAGATGAGGGGTCCCCAAGCCGAGAGAATGGTTGGCAGTAGAAGTAACCTCTTGAGTGCCTGGACTTTATACTTTTGGGAACGACCATTTTGGTGGAAAATAACAAAGTTTGGACTTTTTTGGGCCATATACTCGGAAAGTGAGACAAGACGCCCTTGGAGGATGAAACCTCCTTCATAAAATAAATCAAGAGGCGATTTTCCCTGCTCTCTCAAGGCCGGCAGCAGTGCAATCCACTCAGCCACTCAGCAGTGCCGCAAACATGGCTTCAACAAACATGGCCAATTTAGTAATTCATCTTGGGGTTCCTTTCTCGGGGTGAAACCCCAACAAGGCCTATTCAGCACCCAGCCTGGATGCGGCAAGCCGCCACCAGCTCCCGCTGGCGGCAGCGCAGGGAAGCCTTGGACGTTCTGTAGGAGGGGCTTTGTACGGCACCAACACAAAACTAGGCTGGAATTAGGACCCCAGCAAAAAATATCTTGTTTGCCTGGTTAGTGGAACACAAAGGGACCCTAAAAACCCAAAAAAGTTCAATATTTATATTTACCACTAAAATGGTCCCAAAAAGTTCAAAGTTCATGAACTGAGGAAGTGAGAAAAAGAAGCAGAGAAGGCATGGAGTTCCTCGTGCTCGCTTTGGATTTGCGGTTTGGAGGTGTTCTCGGTAGCTTCCGATTTACCCTCCGTAAGAACCACCAATCCAAACCGAACAAGGGGAACCTCAACTTTTTCCCCCGGCCAAAATGCATACGCCACCCACTGACATGGAAGCTGACTGAAGGTGCCTCTGGAAGATACTTTTCCTCTTAAAGGCAGTCCGGTGAGTTTCCATGTTAGTTGGTGGGCACAATATTTGATTGTAGTCTGTAGCATGTGAAACGTAACAAACGAGACCCAGATACCCTTCCATCTTTGCCATGGAACCTGACTGGGGAAAACACAATAACATAACAAACCTAATGACAGCAACAGAACACAAACCAAGCCACACACTCATACAAAGCCAAAAGCACATAGACGGAAACAAACGCAGGCAGAGAGACAAACAGACAGGCTTACAAACAAACACAAACAAAAACAACCAACCAGTCAGCCAGCCAGCCAGCCAGCCAGCCAGCCAGCCAGCCAGCCAGCCAGCCAGCCAGCCAGCCAGCAAACCAACCATCCATCCAACCAACCATCCAACCAACCAACCAACCAGCCAACCACCAACCAACCAAGCAAGCAAGCAAGCAAGCAAGCAAGCAAGCAAGCAAGCAAGCAAGCAAGCAAGCAAGCAAGCAACCAACCAACAAGATAAACAAACACACACACACACACCTTCACACTTGGATCCTGGCATCGACTGCTTCACGAGAGCTCAGCCTAAGGCAATGAGGCGGCGTGCCGGTTAAACATTCAAGCTGAATCCTCGGGTCAACATTCAAGCTGCAACCGAGGATTCAACTCGGTGTGCGTGTGTTTGTGTGTGTGTGTGTGTGTGTGTTGGTGTGTCTGTGTGTGTTGCTGTGTGTGTGTGTGTTGGTGTGTCTGTGTGTGTGTTGCTGTGTGTGTGTGTGTTGGTGTGTGTGTGTGTGTGTTGCTGTGTGTG